TAAAGATAGGAAATGTAAGATTTATAAGTGAAAAGAATCATACACTTTTACACTTTTAGAATATATTTAGTTTGGGGTAAATAGAGGGGAGGGAATGAGAGGGAGAAAGTATTTAATATTATATGTGTTTGGTTCAATTTTTAGGATGGAAAGAGGAGGTAGATGGAGGGAGGGGGGAAAACTAGAGGTGGCAAATAGACATGTCAATTTCGTTTAGGTCTGCCCTAAAAAAGGGGTGGGGGTGGGGCGAGCATAGTTGAAGATGCAGACATAAAACCTAGATTCATCCCATGTAAAATGAGAGCAGTGCAAATTATGTTTGAGATTAATTGAATACTTTTATAATATTATCATTATTTAATTGCTCTTGTTCTTAATTCATTTTCTATGTTGACGACACAAAACATGATATCAGATCATTATAGATTATTTTTCGTAAGTTTATCGATCTGATCTAGAGCAATTATTTAACTTAGTAATTAACTAGAAATAGTTAATTGTAAGTTGTGGTTTTTGAATTAAAGAACTTAAAATGCCTACTTTAACTCTAAATTGGCCTAACCAATCGGGCAATTATTGTGTAAGTTAGTGAGTTATACATCAAGGAATTGGGCGTAGTAGATCTGTTAATTCGTTATGATATTTTAAAATAATTGTAATTCTTTTAATACACAGTTCATCAACAGGTATAATTAAAAGGTTCTACATAAAGATCTAATCATTTTCCATCATCGAACTTTCCTCTATTAATTTTGTCGTTCTTATTTTCATACTAAATCGCTATCAAAACCCCCTGTCCATTTATTTAGTTTTAATTGCACTGTTATTTTCTTATTTTAATTTGCAATCTATGTGAAGACAAATTATTTCATTACTTCGATGATACTGATACATTTGCTAGTTTAGTCCATAAAAAAATTAAAGACAATTCCGAGAGAGGTATTATTGGAATAAATTGTATACCATTAAGTACATGAGAGATTGCTATTTATACGGTCTAGAAAGTCATATCTAACTAACTAGTCATGTTGGCTAAGTTGTGACAATTTGTTTATGTTTGCCAGTCTTATTTGCAACACTTTCAAACTGTCACTAACAAGAATATTAAAAAACATGATAAAATTGAACTAACGATGCGTTTGATTTGTAAAATAAGAAATATTGGACATAACAGTACCTAGACAGTACAAAACAGTACAAGACAACTTTTTGTTTTGTAATATGTTTGATGGTCGATGCACTGGACAAATTTTTATCTATTTTGTTTGATATATCTATACAACAAATAAAATAATTTTTACTATAAAATTTTTATTGATATATAAAATATTGATATTTATGAATCAAAATATTAAAAAATGAGAAGGAGAAAAAAAAACTACTCTACTTTATTTGATAAGTCTATGCATCATATAAAAATAATATAATTTTTTATTAACAAATAAAATATCAATATTATATTTATAAATCAAAATATCAATACTGAAAGATTAAAAGTTGTATTTTAATATTTTTTGATAATTTGTGTTTGAGACAAAAAGTTGTCTCATAATTTAGTGAGGGACAAAAATTCATGTTTTTGTCTTGTTCCTTGCCATACGTTTTTGTCTTATTTCATGATAAGTTTCTTTATCAAACAAAGTATAAAAAAATTGTTCCATACAATCCCTCGTTTTTGCCCCTTAAATGTCACTTAACTCTACTCTCATTATGGGATTTCAAACCATTTAAGTGCCTTCTATATCCAAGATCAAGGGATGTTGTGTTCAAAATTAGTCAAATGTTAAATAAATGCCAACAAAAATAACTTTCCTTATATATATATATATATATATATATATATATATATATATATATATATATATATATATATATATATATATATATATATATATATATATATATATATATATATATATATATATATATATATATATATATATATATATATATATATATATATATATATATATATATATATATATATATATATATATATATATATATATATATATATATATATATATATATATATATATATATATATATATATATATATATATATATTTAACTTTACTTCTAAAACAATCTTAATCTATCATTGTCAAAATCCGACAATCATGTTTTAAATTAATAATTGATTATAGATTACACTATTAGAACGTAATGCATTCAATGTTAATTTGGTTATCCAAATTAGTGATTTTGTAATTGTTGAAATTCAAATGTGAGTATTATATTTCACATTTGAAATTAGAAAGAGTTGAAATATTAGATTTATAAGAGAAAAGAATATGTATGGTTTGAAGTATATGGAAGGGAGAGAAAGGGAGAGGAGAGAACATTTAACATTTTAGGTGTTTGGTTCAATTTTTAGGATGGAGGAGAAGGTAGATGGAAAGAAGGGGGAAAAGGAGAGTGAGACAGAGCGTGTTTGAGTTTAATTGATTAATTTCATGTGATTATTATTATTTAATTGTTCCTGTTTTTATTTCCTTTTCTAGCTTGACGACTCACAAATTGATATCCGATGATTAGAGATTATTGTCCGTAAGTCTATCGATCTGATCTAAGGTTCTATTTAGTAAACTTAGTTGATAGATGATAAGTTAACTGGTAGCTGGTAGTTGATGATATTTATAGCTGATAGCTTATAGCTGGTGACTGGTATCTTATAACCGATAAATTATAGCTGATAAGCTAATTTGAGTGTTTGGTAAATTAGTTATTACACTGACTGATAAATACAAAATGACATAAAAAGACATTCTTAATTAAAAAAATTAGTGATCATATTTATTAAATTAATTTTTATTCAATAAAAATAAACGTATTAACAATCAAATACAAAACATTTTAAATATAAATATAAAATTAAACATAACAGAAAAATATATTTACCTATAATAAAGAAAAAAAATGTTTAATAAATAAAATAAATTTCTTTACAAAAATCTTTAAAATAAAATTCTTGTAGAAATACATGTGTATAATAATACCTTTAGGAGGATTTGAAAATTTTAGCACAAATTTAGGCGCAGGTGTGTTGATTGCATGAAGAAAAATTCTTAATACATCTAAAATATACCACTCCCTTTCAAGCCAGTAAAATCAATAAAGCAAAATATTACAAGTCGGCTAATTTCATGTATTCATCATTAGTGATAAAAATATAAAATTGGAATTTAGGTTTTTTTTTATAAATCATGAATCAAACAATACAAAAAAGATGAAAACAAATCGCATACAATAACAATATTACAAACAAAAATATATTAAAGTATAATATAAAAAATAATCAGTTGAAGAAAAATAAAGATACATGTGTGTAAAAATAAAAATGAGAGATAGAGAACTATGATTACTACGAATGATGGAATAGGAGTGAACTTTAATTCAGAGCAAAGATGAATGCTTTAGAGAATGAGAATAGAGGAAGATTGAGTGAAAATTACAAAAGAACAAAATGGAAGATGAATGATATTGTGAATTTGTTTTTTTAAAAATAATGATTGACCTTTCTTATTCCTCAATTAAAACACAATTATTTTAATTTAAACTATAATAAAATCTAAAAGATAAAAATGAGTTTTTGATAAAATAGTGAGGGTACAAATGACAAAAAAAATCATAAGTTAAAAGCTACAAACTCAAAAGCTACTTCAATTAGCTTTTGAAAAAAAAACTAAAAATTAGTAAAAAAAACTACAAGTTAAAAGCTAAAAGACAGTTATCAAACATAATTTTTTTTATTAATATGAGCTGAAAAACTAAAAGCTATAAGTTAAAAACCCCTTTTTAGTCTTACCAAACAGACCCTAACATAGTAATTAATTAGCAATAAATAATCATAAATTATGAATTCTGAATTAACAAAGTTAGAATGCCTAGTTTAACTCTAAACGAGCCTAAAGAATTAGGGAATGAATATGTATATTAGTGAGTTCTACATCAAAAATAAATTGGGTGCAATGAAATTGTTTATTCGCCGTGAGATTTTAAAATAATGTAATCTTTTAATACACAGTTGACTCAGTAAATTCTCTCCCATGTTGGCTATTTATATGGTCTAGAAAGTCATAACTAACTAGCCATGTTGGCTAAGCTGTGACAATTTGTTTGTATTGCAAATTTTATTTGCAACACTTTCAAACCGTAACTAACAACAATATTAAAAGACATGATAAAATTGAACTAAATGTCATTGGGATTTCAAACCATTTAATTGCCTTCTATATCCAAGATCAAGGGATGTTGTGATCAAAATTAGTCAAGAATGTTAAATAAATGCCAACAAAACTTAATTTTCCTTCTAAAGCAAAATAAAAGCAAAATATATATATATATATATATATATATATATATATATATATATATATATATATATATATATATATATATATATATATATATATATATATATATATATATATATATATATATATATATATATAAGAACAAAATTACAATGATAAAAACAGAAAATTAGTTTTAAATTCTTTCTCTTTCCCTTTATGAATCAAACAAATAAAATCTTCCTTCCTGTCCACTTTTATATCTTAAATCAAAGATATATGTATTGAAATTTCTTAGCTCCTTTTCTTTCACCTCCTCTCCCTTTCATAAAAATACTCTCATTCCCCTCCTCTCTCCGTTGAACCAAATAGATCCTTATAATTTGAAACACGTAGCTCTTGCATTTCGAATCTTTTCAATAAGATAGTATCAGAATTTATGCAAGATCCGTTGAACCACCACATTCTATCGTGAGTATCATCAATATCATTAATAGTACATGTCTAGTGATAAATCATCATAATTTTATGTCATTTCATTTCACACGAATCGTAGTATTTACATAACAATCCATCTAAACATCTGCAAAACTTGATATTCGTAAATTGCAGAAGTAAAGCAGACGACACTTGTATCATTATCACTGCTAAAGAATCGTAATTACACATTACAAAATATATATACAGGTAAACATAAGGTTCGTCTCACATCTCAGACAAAAGGTTGCTAATTTGTCGCAGCTCCTTGAGAGCCGACATGGCAGTAACCTGCCCTTTGTCAACCAGAACATTTTTAGATGTATTATTATCCAATGAAGCATCCTGACCAAGCTCGTGTTGGAAAGCAGACTCAATCACCTGTTGAACAAAAATATAGACCTTAAGATAACTTTTCAGAACTACGTTTCAATCCTCAAATTGTATTTTCAGTTTACTCGCTAACTTGTAATTGAATTTTAGTGGCAGTCAGAGAGAACCTTACCTGAATATGCTCAAGCATGGACTGCCCGATATTCCTCAAAGTTCCCATCACATTCTGGTCAGCAACATCTCCTTTTAAGTTAACAGAGCTGCAATGCTCGCCAGCTATAGATGAGAGTACTGTGTTACTTTGATTATTACAATTGTTGGTCGGCTTTACAGGCTCAGAAGCACGCCCTCTTTTCTCAGACACTAACTCGCTGCCGTTCTTACGACCAAACTTCCATAGCCACTGGAATTTATTTAGTTTTATATCCCTAGAAAGTGTGGCCAAATTTCCTATGGAATCATTATTACGCCCTGGCGCCGGAGATAGGTTGTTCTCAGGATGATCAGAGATTGGAAGCGGCGAATCAACGGGACTACTAAGTAACATTTCACTAATAACATCAATGGATAAATTAGACCCAACATTACATTTTGGTGAGACATTTTCATTTTCATGATGTTTGATCTCATTAGGAGGACTAGCTGGGTTAAATGAGTTTTCCTCACTGCCAGTGCTTTTACTTGGAAGTCTATCGTCAGCACCGTAAGTAGAGCTATCAATTGCTACTGAATGATTATCCTGCTGGCATAAGATTTCATCATCGCCGAGTTTTTCTGTATCTTCTTCTAACTGAAGTTCCTTGGAAAGATCTTTTAATAAACTCTGTTTAACAGATGTGTTAGATTCCTGTTTACCACTCTTACTCGTTGATGAAGATGGTTCGGATTCTGTTCTTTTCAAACTTAACTTTACCTTTTCTGTCCATCTCTTTTTCTGAGATGGAACCTGCTTTTCTACTCCATCTTGTTTAAGTTCTTCAGCACTGTGGACAACTCTCCACTTTTCTTCCCAGTATCTATTATCAGGTTGAATATTCTTAGGAGTTTTTGGTGAGCCTGATTCAGTTGGAACGGAAATAGATCTCGCAATTATTGATTTACCATTGTTGTGATACTCTATAAGTACAGGTGTCGAGGATGAAATTTCAGGACTTAATGCAAGAGTCTGCAAGGATTTAGCCTTCTCTATCAGTTTTTGAATGTCTGTGTCCTCAGGAAAGCTTAATAGTCTCTGGAGACAAGTCGTAGGATTTTCAGTCGCAAGTAGTGAAGATCTTATATGAAGTAACATTGCCACAGCAATAGCTGAGATAAACGCTCCACGACACGAGTGAAAGATCATTAAACCATTGTCTGCATTGTCCTCCACGAGCTTTTCCGTTTTACTATTGTCTGATAAAAAGACTTCATCCCAGATGATCAACAGGTTGTCAAGTGAAAATTCTCGTCCAAATAAAACTCTCAACCAGCGGAGAGCAAAGTACTGTGGTTCAACCCCGAGATCAACAAGATGGCTATACAGAGATGAATCCACATGAGACAACAAATGATACAATGCAGTGGAAGCTTCAATTACAGGTGGCAAACCAGTATGGGACCCGGGAACTGGGGAATAAGAGAAAAAATTGGCCATTGCAACTGAACCCTGAGCACCATTCATTAAAGCTTCAAACATGCAGTAAGCATCATGCTCAATGAATTTCTCAGATAAAACAATACCCAGTTCACCTTCAGCCTCATAAGCGTCACTCAGCAATACAATGGTCTGTATCTTAGGATCAAGCTCGTCAAGACTCTTGATTTTCATTCCTTTTCCATGGGAGCCAATTTCATCATTCAACAAGTCTGAAGATTTTTTAAAATCAAAGCTGTAAGAAAGATCATTCTCTTGGCAAAGGAGATCATCAAATCTGTCTGTGAAGTGATCTTCATAAAGTTTTCGAACTTCCAAAAGGTGCTCCACATCAACTTGGAGAACATAAAGCAAAGGAGCAAGCAACTCGTGCATTCCTACAAAATAAATGAATTAAAGAAGCTCAATAATGTTGGTTCAAATTGTTGTGTTTGTGCAACATAAACAACAAGTTAATCATTTAATGTCAGTAATTCATGAATCTACCAAAGCAGATGAAATTTTAAACAATTGCATGCATAGAAATAATAGAGCAGCGGTCAACATGAAAGTAATTATAAACTTGTTGCCAATAAAGATTATATCATAAAAATAGTAACTAAATCCTGTTTCCGATATCTTAGAGAGCATGAGATTCACAATGAGAAAAGCATATGATATGCCTTGTTTTGATTGGTCAAGTAAAGCTTTCATACCATTAGATACGCTAATGTGCTATGGTAAGTTATATAATGTTGCAAGGAAAATAAGACGCCCATTATAAATGAAAAAAGTTCACCAATTATGCAGTTACTTACCAAGTTGGAAGGAAAAATAAACAAAGTTCCACAAGTGAGAAAGGTAAACATATTGTGTGTAATTGTTGATTGGCTGAGCAATTTACCTTGTCTATAACCATACTCGGGGTGTCTAAGACACCATAATAATAAAATTCGTCTCAATATGCCTTGGCACCCTTTTGTCTGGAAATAGTTTCCATGTTCCGGGTATAAGCGTGATAGATCCTGATCCACCATCCTCTCCATCTCCGCATTGTGAAAAAATCGACCCCAAGTACTGTCTGCATATAAACAACATTTTATTGCCATCATAGATGGGATTCAACAGCTTGAAATCTACATAATGGTATTCTAAATTCTGCTGACAGCACTATGATATCATATGCAACAATATAGTCTTAAAAATCATGGAAGTTGGAGCATAGAAATATGACACCAAAACCAAACAGTAAAAACATAAAATCTAAACTGCTACAAAGGCGAAAACTATTGCTAAACCTATCTCGAGGAAGGTAGAAGGAAACAGTATACGTTAGTATTCAAATATCTAATTTTTTCCCTCCACTAAGTAGGAATTTATGACAGTATATCTGGCTAAATCGGAAAATAAATTTATCCACATGTAATACGCAGCATGAAAGGAGTGTAAGCAGTCTGCTAATATTTACTTGGATTTTGCGAAAGTGGGTTGTCCATGACAAGATTGGGCGAACTACTTTCATCCATTTTAACATGAGGATCAACCAGAAGCCGCCCTCTCAAACTAGCATACCTGACAAAATGAGAAACATTCTATATCAAATAAGCAATACATATCCACACAAAAATGCAATTGTGTCATATTTGATAGACATCAAGAAACACCTTGATCTTACCGCTCATAAATCTCTCAAGATGGCAACACTATACTATACATTCCGTAAATACTAACACCATTGGCCAAAATCCATATAATTTACAGCTAGAACCCTCAATGCCAAATGAAGAAACAAATTTCTATTCATGTATATAAAAATAAATAAAAAAAACATGTATTTCCATATGAATTTGTGCTTATTGAGAGTTGAGAATCATAACAGTAACCAATTAGATATACACAAAAACAGTTACATGTATAATTGCATATATTATTGTGATCACCAAAAATAGCAAGGAAATTGAGATATTTGAAGCTAAAATACCTATGAAATTTCTCTGAACTTTTTCCTGAATCTAAGGAATACAATTATCCAAATACCATAAATTGGATCAAAACAAAAACACTAATAGGGCATGATTACCGACTGAGTTGGCTTACCTTCTTCGAGAATTAGCGGTTGCACGACGAAGATCATCAATGAAAGTTGAAGAAGAAGAGGAAGAAGAAGGCAAAACCCCAAGGTTTATACGCCACTGCAAACCTCTAAGATCGTCGAATTGCTGACTCTCCGACGCCGGTTCATAAAAAATGGCGTCGGAGGTTAAAGAATGCACCGACGATGATTCAGACAATGGCGGATTCACCACGGCCGGCGGCATGATTATCCGGCAATCCGTGATCGACGGAAACGGTTATAACAAGAATAATCTAGAAAGTGAAAGGAATTGTTGAAGAAGAAACAGAGAAAAAGGGGAATGAAATGAAGGGAATTTGGTGGTGAAAATGACGTGGCAATTATAATTAGGGAGATGGGAAAGAAAATAAATGATTGGTAAAGTTGTTTTTTCTGCCCGTTTTCTGTCTCTCTGATTCTGAGAGGAGAGAGAGAGGGATTTAGATTTTTGAAGAAAGAATATACCAAATTTGTTTGTGTATAGGAAATAAAAAAAAGGAAATGTCTCTTAAGAAAAATAATTTTAGGGAAAATTAATTATTAGATATTGCAAAACAGAATACATAAAAGTAAATAAACTTAATTGTTCCTTTTGGATATTCAAAAGATATTCAAATATAATATATGTGTAATATTATTACACAATGAGAATTCAAGAATATTCCAATAGCAAACTAAAAAATTAGCTAACTAACAATACAAATACATATTAATAAAATAAAGATAGGACAGGACAACTATAAACATTAGGATTTAATATTTCTCTTAAACTAAATTAGACGGTTGAGATTAACAAGATAGGACTTGTTGATAAACGGTAGAAAAGTTGGATTTTGCAAGACTTTAGTGAGTATATAACAATTTTTAAGGATGAAGAAATTGGAAAGAGTTTTCTACTTGGCAAAAAGTATATAATGCATTGCATCTCTATGCTGGTAGGGGTGGTAAGAGGCTTTGGTAATTCTCTAGTGGATTAAGGCTTACTCACGGTGGTGAGATCTCTTATTTAGTGGCGTTTACGATGATCAAAGAGGCAGCTCACGTAAAGTGGAAAGCTCTGTAGCTTTAGGGATGTATCATTTGTATTATGATATGTCCCTCCTCAACCCCCAAGGTTGTGTTATATATAGAGAGAGCCTTTTAGACTTGAGTTGAGAAAGTTACTTCCCTTCCACTATTAGATAATGGGGAAGAAGGAGTTATTCCTCCTTTGAACCATTCTTCTAGTCAATTGAAATGGGATATGACATCCCCCACGTTTACTAGACAAGTGGGCATGGGTTTAGGTGGACTAAGCCCATCCATACAGGCTATTAATAAGGTCCAGAGCGACTTCATGGCCAATTTTGGGCGGCTGGCGGCTTTGCAGGATAACTTACCTCTCGCATATGTGTTGTGTTTCCTTACTTCTACGTAAGCTATCCCTTTTCGGGACCCAATAAAATCATATCAATACACAGTCCCTCAAGCATTAGGGCTTGAAAAGGTTAAAGTGATTAAATAAAGAGCTCACAACTTTAAGATTCCTTTGTATGGATCTCTTCAATATGGGTTTCTCGAGAAGAGATTATAAATCGTGTTTTTCAAGCGAGACTTTAAGTTGAGTCCCTCAGGAGAGAATTTAAGTCGAGTCTTTGAGGCAATACTTTAATTTAAGTCCCTCAAGAGAGACTTTAAATCAACTCTTTCAGGCGAGATTTTAAGATGAGTCTCTCATAAGAGACTTTAAGCTGAGTCTCTCAAGAGATACTTTATGTCGAGTCTCTCAGACGATATTTTAAGTCGAGTCTCTCACTCGAGATTTTAAGATGAGTCCCTCAGGAGATACTTTAAGTCGAGTCTCTCAGATGATATCTTAAGATCATTCTCTCAGGCGAGACATTAAGATAAGTCCATTAGGTGAGACTTTAAGTCGAGTATCTCAAGCGAGAATTTAAGTCGAGTCCCTCAGGCATGACTATAAGTCGAGTCCCTCAAGCGTGACTTTAATTCGATTCTCTCAGGCAAGACTTTAAGTCGTGTCTCTCAAGAGAGACTTTAATAAAATCCTCTCATTCAAAACTTTAATTCGAGTCTTTCAAGAGAGACTTTGAGATGAGTTTCTCAAGAGAGACTTTAATTTGAGTCACTCATAAGAGACTTTAAGATGAGTCCCTCAAGTGAGGCATTTAGATCATTTAGATAAGTCTCTCGCGCTAGACTTTGGTCGAGGCCCTCAAGCAATACTTCTAAGTTAAGTCTCTCGGGCCATACTTTAGTCGAATCCCTTAGGATGAACCTTATTTTAGGAGACTCTAAGTCTCTTGGGCGAGGCGCTTAGATGAATCTCTTGGGATAGACTTTGGTCGAGACCCTCAGGAAAGACTTTTAAGTTAAGTATCTCTGGTCAGACTTTGGTTGAGTCCCTTATGCGAGACCTTAGACTGGACCTTGTCTAAGAAGAATTTATGTCCCTCAAGAGAGGCATTTAGATGAGTCTCTTGCACTAGACTTCAGTCGAGACCCTAAGGGAAGACTTTTAAATTAAGTCTCTCGGGTCAGACTTTGGTCGAGTCCTTTAGGCGAGACCTTAAGATGGACCTTACCTAAGGAGAATCCAAGTCCCTTAGTTGAGGTGTTTAGATGAGCCTGTTTGATGGGACTCTAAGTCCCTAATGCAAGGTTATACATTGAGCTTGTTTAAGGAAACTTTAATTCCCTCAAGCGAGGTATTTAAATGAGGTAACCCATATCGTATATCCCATTTGAATTTTCTTAAGAGGCCGAAAAGATCTTCTTGTGGAAGTCCAATGTTCATGTATTTCCTTAAAAGGCAAAAATAATCTTTCTGTAGAAGTTCATCATTCATGTATTGCCTTAAGAGGCAGTAAGGATTTTCCTGTGGAAGTCCAACGTTTATGTATTACCTTAAGAGGCGGCAAGAATATTCCTATGGAAGTCCAATGTTCTTGTATTGCCTTAAGAGGTAGCAAGGATCTTCCTTTGGAAGTTCGACATTCATGTATTTCTTTAAGAGGCAGAAAGGATCTTCTTGTAAAAGTTCAACATTCATGTATTGTCTTAAGAAACGACAAGGATCTTGATGTGGAAGTAAACCAATTTCTTTAAGGTTTCACCAAGTAGTTAAATATGAGGCGGTGAATGTGGGTTGAATTCCTTAAGGATTACAATTTTGTTTTAAGTACCATTCGAGTAAGGCGAACATAGTAGCAAATGCCTTGAGTAGGAAATCATTACTTAATTTATAACTCACGATTCTAAGTTTTACCTATATGAAGATTTTAAATATATTAATCTTAATATAACATGGTGTGATGGTGGGGTCTTAATCAGTTAGTGGAAAAATTATTCTAATATGCGGAGAAAAATTGGCCAGACTCAGACATTGGATAAGGAGTTACAAGCAGTTTGGACAAATATGGATTTTCAATGTCAACTAATGGAGTGGTCTTATTTGAAGATAGAATATGTGTATTGAATGACCCGAGTGTAAGAAAGGAAATTTTGGAAAAAATGCATAATAGAAAATTTGCAATTCATCCTGGATCCACCAAGAAATATCATAACCTAAAGAATGATTTTTGGTGGCACGGAATGAAGACAAGTATTTTTTAATATGTCGCGCAATATGTAGTATGCCAATAATTTTTTGTAGAAACAGATAAAATATGTCGGTAATTCCTACTTTCTTCAGCGCATTACCTTATCCTAAAATAACGAGCTACCTGTTTTTGCATTGCGGATAAGAATGTGCAAAAAAACCGGTTATGCTTAACCAAATTGATATTCAAATTGTTCCACTTTTAAAAATCCAAACCAAATGTTAAAATATAAATGTGGGTATCATTTTGTTATCCAAATATAAATCTGTACCCATAATAAGAATGTGGTTTAATTATTGAGTACCCAAATTTCATTATGTGTCAAATTTATATGTTTGTCTCTTTTCATGTTTCATCCTATATACATTATAAACCAAATTTATATTTTGAACTCTTTTAAAATTAATTTTTTCTTAAATTTCATTAAAAAAAAATTATTTAAAAAATATTCAGAATTTTTTTTTCAAAATGATTTTTTTCTATTTACGAAAAAAATTATATTCGGAAAAAAAATTTTGAAAAAATTATTATTTTTCAAAAATGTTTAAAATTCTTTTTTTAGTAAAAATATTTTGAATTTTTTTAAAATAATTTTTTGTTCATAATTTTTTAAATTTTTGAAAAAAATTATTATTTCAAAATTTCAATATAAAATAAAATTATGTTCAAAAACATTTTTATTAGTCTGATGTGATAAAAAAAATAATTTCAAATACATGTCAATTTAAAACTATTTTATACTGATATAATACATCCTTTTTGTCCAAAATTATACCAGAACTAAATTGATTAGCCAGTATTTTCACAAATATAAAAAACTATAATCCAAAAAGTTGTACAGTATCTAGTAACAAGAGTAGAAAGCGTCTCATACATATTACAAACAAAAAATATTCATTGCAAGAGAGGGATCATCATCAAAAAGGTGCTAAGATCCTATGCATAAGAAAGAGAAATCGTCACCTCGAGGGTACTTAGATCCTCAACATAAAAAAGGGATTTGTTGGCGACATGAGAAGTTAACATCTACTCACAAGTTAGCATGGATCATTTAGGATGAAAATCAATTGGGGGAGATTCTAAAAAGGACTCGCTAGAGAGCGAGCTTGTTGAGGATCAACTTTAGAAAGGACAGTGAGGGGAAAATGTCTAATGGGGAAACTAGCAAACATTTATGCTTGGGGACTTGTAACAATGTCAGATGGGGAAACTAGCAAACATTTCTTCTTGGGGAAAATGACTCATGATTTATGTTATGTATGCATGCTTTGTGCGGATGCATATTGATGCAAGTGTTAATGCATGGTATGTAGTCGGGGATTATACTTCTACAAGAGGCCACTGAATCCTTGCTTACGCTATGATATGTGAGAGAAATATTCTCTTAGATAGGTTTTGTATGATGTCAAAACTAGGTAGTTTAGCTTTTTGTGTATGTTGGACCCTATAGCCTTTGTCTACATGTGCATCATCATTATATTACATGTGAAAATAGATTCAATAGACCATAACACGATAAAAATATGATTTTTCATGAAAAATTAGTCAATGAGTCGACACACACCAAGATGAGTCGGTACATACTTAAGTGATTTTTAAAAGA